GGCGGCGCCTGTAGTCCCAGCTACTTGGGAGGCTGAGGCAGGAGAATGGCGGGAACCCGGGAGACAGAGCTTGCAGTGAGCCGAGATCGCGCCACTGGGTGTGCTGGTGCATGTCTGTAATCCCAGCTACTCAGGAGGCTGAGGCAGGAGAATGGCGTGAACCCGGGAGGCAGAGCTTGCAGTGAGCCGAGATCGCGCCACTGCACTCCAGCCTGGGCGACAGAGCGAGACTCTGCCTCAAAAAAAAAAAAAAAAAAAAAAAAAAGAACATTTCAGGACTGTAAGCCAAAAATAAAATTTTAGGCCAGGTGTGCTGGTGCATGTCTGTAATCCTAAGAGTTTGGGAGGCTGAGGTGGGAGGATCACATGAGCTCAGGAGTTCGAGACTAGCCTGGGCAACATAGTGAGACCTCATCTGTATAAATTTAAATAATAATAATAATAATAAAATTTTAAAGGTTGAAAAAATAAAATTCTAAGCCCCCCAACCAACTGAATGGACCCTCCCTCTTGGCCAAGGGCATTACAAAGTTAACCTGAAAAACTAGTTCAGGCCATGACGGTGGGGGTTGGAAATGCCTCACTAACTATATATAATCCCTCCTCCTGTTGGAATTTAGGCGCAGCTGATCAGAACTAACATTGAAACAGAGATCTCAAAATTGACGAAGAAACAGACTTTGTCATAAGACACCAAATTCCAGCCTGACTCTGGCATCACATGACAGATAGCAGGCCCCGAGAGAAATCAGAGTATATTTCTTTTTTTTTTGAGACAAGATCTTGCTCTGTCTCCCTGGCTGGAGTGCAGTGATGGGATGATCAGCCTCAACGTCGTGGGCTCGAGCAGTCCTCCCGCTTCAACCCCCTCAAGGAGCTGAGACTACAGGGATGCACTACCATGCCCAGTCAATTTTTAAATTTTTGTAGACAGGGTCTCATTATATCTCCCAGGCTGGTCTCAAACTGGCCTCAAGCTATCTTCCTGCCTTGGCCCCCCAATGTGCTGGGATTGTAAGCGTGAGCAATCGTACCTGGCCCAAAGTGTATTTATTTGACATATTTTGAAATGGCCCTGCAAAGCTGTCCCCTGTGAGGAAAGTCTACATTCTGTTGAGAATCCCCTTTTCTATTCAGGTGTTTTTCTTGATCCAAGAGATAATTTACTAAGAATCTGGCCCCTTTTTTAGCTCTGTTAGGAGCTCTGAGGCTGGGCGTCGTGGCTCAAGCCTGTAATCCCAGCACTTTGGGAAGCCGAGGTATGTGGATCACCTGAGGTCAGGAGTTCGAGACCAGCCTGGCCAACATGATGAAACCCTGTCTCTACTAAAAATACAAAAAATTAGCTGGGTGTGGTGGCGGGTGCCTGTAATCCCAGCTATTCAGGAAGCTGAGGCAGGAGAATCGCTCAAACCTGGGAGGCGGAGGTTGCAATGAGCTGAGATTGCGCCATTGCACTCCAGCCTGGGTGACAAGCGTGAAACTCCATCTCAAAAAGAAAAAACTCCTAAGCCTGCTACCTGGAGGCTTCACATGCATGATGAAACCAAGGTCTCCACAACCCCTTAACTGACATTCCTTTCTATTGGCTCCAGGTCTTTAGATAATGACTCTGCGAACTAATTGCCAGAGAAAATTTTTGAATCTGCCTATGACCTGGAAGCACCCCTCCCCCAACCTCACGACCTTATTTCGGTTGTCCCACCTTTCCAGACTGAACCAATGTACATCTTACATGTATTCATTGATGTTTTGTCTCCCTACAATGTAAAAAACAAACTGTAACCCAACCACCTTGGGACATGTTCTCAGAATCCCCTGGGGCTGTGTCCTGGGCCATTGGTCACTCATATTTGGATCAGAATAAATCTCTTCAGATATTTCACAGAGTTTGACTATTTGACTCTTTTTGTCAACAGGACCCTCTAAATTTGTCAAGGGGTAAGTTAAGCCCTGGAGACTGGATCATGTAGCATGTTTGCAACTTCTGCTTCATAGACTGTAGATTAACCCCCTTCCTGTTTTTGTTCTGTAGACGACTAGGAAAGACCTCCTCCCCTTCCAATCACTAAAATCTTTGTTACAGATTAACTGCCTTCTTTATTGTCCTGTACCTAAGTCACACCAGATGCCACAAAGACTCTGGCTGTCACACCTTCACTGTGGAATGTTAAATAAACCTTTTCTAAAAAGAGCACGTTGATGAATCAGATTATTGTAACCGTGCATTAAGCCTGCTACAGAAAGATGTTGAAATTCTGTTAAGCGTTCCTAAACTATTTCTCTATAAACGATCCCCAAACTTCTACACTCCATACAGTGACTTCCATTCTTTGGGAACTGTGCTTCTCAGGTGGCCATCCTCAAACTTGCAGCTTGAATAAAGATTCCAATCCTTTGATTATTTTGCATTGACAAAAGCATGGGGACTGAGCATTATGCGGTGAGGAGCCCTCCACTCTTCATTTTTTGAGAAAGACTTTAAAATGAGTGCAAAGATTATTGGGTGTGTAGGGGAGGAGAAAAAAAAAACCTCCTTATCTCTCTACCCTTTTAAACTCTTGGCTGGGGTCCCTGTAACAAAGACAAACTAGGCCAGGCGCGGTGGCTCATGCCTGTAATCCCAGCACTTTGGGAGGCCGAGGTGGGTGGATCACCTGAGGTCAGGAGTTCCAGACCAGCCTGGCCAACATGGTGAAACCCCGTCTCTACTAAAAATAGAAAAATTAGCCAGGTGTGATGGTGGGCACCTGTAATCCCAGCTACTCGGGAAGCTGAGGCACGAGAATTGCTTGAACCCGGGAGGTGAGGTTGTAGTGAGCTGAGATCACACCACTGCACTCCAGCCTGGGTGACAGAGGGAGAGTCCATCTCAAAAACAAAACAAAAAAACACAAATTAATAAGAGAAAAACAAATAGAAGTTTATTAACATGTACATCTCATATATACATAAGAGAAACTTGGGAAAGAGTAACTTGAAGAGGTAGCGTAGAATGTGGTTTCACACAGTACCTTCGACAAAGAATAATACCTTTGGCCGGGCATGGTGGCTCATGCCTACAATCCCAGCACTTTGAGAGGCCAAGGTGGGTGGATCACTTGCAGTCAGGAGTTCAAGACCAGCCTGGCCAACATGGCAAAACCCTGTCTTTACTAAAAATACAAAAATTAGTCGGGCATGGTGGCGGGCCCCTGTAATTCCAGCTACTCAGGAGACTAAGGCAGGAGAATTGCTTAAACCAAGTGGAGGTTGCAGTGAGCTGAGATTGCACCACTCTAGTCTGGGAGACAGAGCGAGACTCCATCAAAAAAAAAAAAAGAACAATACTTTTGTAGAGAAATGACAGGACAAAGGAAAGTAGTTTGCAGCTTCCAAGGGTGGCAAACTGTGGGAAGGTTAACACATGGGAAGAAACTTAATAGAGTAAGGTTTGTTTACAGATTCCTTTGGTGCCCTCTCTGGGCTAAGAAAAGTCTAGAGTGTCCAGTAAAACTGAATTTACACCTGCCCTTTAGGCAGAAAAGGGGGAGGATAAAGAGAACTTTTCCTGCATTTGTTGCTTCTTAATTGCCTTCAGCTGAAAATAATTTTTATGTCGAAGAGGCATATTTTGCGGTGATATATTCTGGTTTTCTTTTTCTTTTTTTTTTTTGAGACGGAGTCTCTGTCACGCAGGTCGGAGTGCAATGGCACAATCTCAGCTCACTGCAATCTCTGCCTCCCAGGTTCAAGCGATTCTCCTGCCTCAGTCTCCTGAGTAACTGGGATTACAGGCGCCCAAAACTGTGTCTGGCTAATTTTTGTATTTTTAGTAGAGATGGGGTTTCACCATGTTGACCAGGATGGTTTCAAACTCCTGACCTCGGGTGATCCGCCCGCCTGGGCCTCCCACAAGTGCTGGGATTAAAGATGTGAGCCACCACACCCAGGCCTAAAGAAAACCAGAATAGTTTTCTTTAGGTGTCTTCATTGAACAAGTAGATATTGTCTGGCATACCCTTCTGGGTTACCTGTCTTATGGGGTCTTATTTTTATCTGTAAGCTATCTAGAGTTCTAGTGGAGCATTGTATATATACCATCATTAATGAGTTAAATGAAATCTTTGACATACGTTCATTTTATATTTGTGAGAGAGTCATAATTTTACTTTTTTTTTTTTTTTAAAAGAAATGCTTTTTTTTTTTTTTTTTTTTTTTTTTTTTTTTTTGGGAGACTGCTCATTCTGTTGCCCAGGCTGGAGTGCAGTGGCGTGATCTCAGCTCACTGCAACCTTCGCCTCCAGGGTTCATGATTCTCCTGCCTCAGCCTCTCGAGTAGCTGCTGGGATTACAGGCGTGCACCACCACATCCGGCTAATTTATGTGTTTTTAATAGAGACGCGGTTTCACCATTGTTGGCAGAGCTGGCCTCGAACTCCTGACCTCAAGTGATCAGCCCGCCTTGGCTTCCCAAAGTGCTGGGATTACAGGCGTGAACCACCGCGCCTGGCCTTAAAAAACATTTTCCTACTTTCAAACACCTTAGGGCTTACTATATGGAAGGGACCGTGGATGCTCTAGTGTCCTTCAAGGAGGAGGCCGGGGGCTCCGCGGACCTCAGGAGTCAGGCCTCCAATCCCTAGTTCAGGCGCTTCCCTCTTTTCCCCACTGCTTTCTGGCTCAGCAATTTCCACTCCCGCTCCCGTACTTTCCCATTTCCTTAGGTCACATCCCCGCACCTAGTACAGGCCACACCTGGAGCTGCCCCTGAGACACCGCCGCGGGTTCGGCAGCCTAACAGCGTGGCTTGGACCCTGCGGCAGCCCGTAGCCACTATCCTTTCTCCTTCCGGACTTCAGTTTGGCTGCATCTCTGTCTTAGCGAGAGGGGCTGTGACTAAAAGCTGCCTTTTCTCAATGAACTGCCAGTTTGCAAGAGCCTCCGGGTCCCCTCAAACCGCCTCGAGCGCCCCTCTCCGCGGGAGCGGCGCGGCCGGAACTGCGTAGGTGCGGCGTCACTGACCTCGACGGGTTCACTTCCGGGGCTCGCGCGGCCCCTCTATTCAGCCAAGGCTCCGGGCTCCGGCATCTGCTCGGCGGCAGCCTCCTTCAGACCTGCCTGGCGGGACCCAGGGGACCAAGCCGAGCCGCGGGGCCCGCTCCGGCCCGGCCATGAGCGCGGCCGCATGATGCGTCCCTGCCTCGGCCGCTGCAGTCGCCGCCGCCGCCGCCGCAGGCCGGGAGGAGCCGCTGCGCCGGGCGACCCCGCCCGGGCCTCGGGTGAGTGCGGCGGGCTGGGCCCGGCGGGCTGCTCACTCCCGGGTCTCCCGGCCACTCCCGGCCCTCGGCCTGCCCTATCCTTCCGTCGGTCCCGCCGCTCTCTCTCCTCCACCCCGCCGCGCACCTGCGACCTTCTGGAGTTCCTAGGGGCACCTCGGTTCCCGCACCTGACTTCCCTTCCAGGTGCCTCCTTGTCATTCCTTAGTTACTCTCTCGGGATAGGGACTAGCTTGCAGCCCCAGCTTTTTGCCTGACCTTGGGCGTGACACTCAGCTCTCGGAGCGCTGGTTTTCTGTGTGACTAATGACGGGGTGGTGGTTACAGAGCAGCCATAAACCATGTGTAAGCTGTAAAGAGTTTTTTTATAGGCATGTATTACAATGAACAGTCTCGGACCTCGCGTTGTGGCTTCTCTTCCTCTTAACTTGTAAACTTTTTTATTCTCTGCCCATCTTCCTCGTTATCTTCCCTCCTGCTCCACGTCAGTCACCTTTGGATGTTAGTTGCCTGAAAGGGCGTCTGGGACAGTCAGGTCAGCTTTGAGGGCAGTAAGGCTCACCTCTCCTGGTGTGGTTCCTTCTGCAACTGAGTCACACTCGGTTAGATAGACACACTCTTTATTAGCTTGTAAATAACCAGTTTATTGTGGCAGTTAAATTGGAGTGTAAGAAGCAGTGTTGATGCGGCTCCTTGCCTTGTAGCTTCTTTTACTGTCTGGGCTGTATACAGTGCTGGTCATATCGCTGCTGCAATGTTGCATTTGCAGTCTCCTTAGTGTATGCACTTAAGCGCACGTATTTATCTGTGTTACTGTTACTGTCCCAAGCGGTTTAGAGATTTAGGTCAATGTGTATTAATATTTCTTTCTGAACTCTTCACCTCACAGATGAAGAATCTCTTTTTTGTTATGTTTTACAGTGTTGACATACCTGAAATCACCTTTTAGTCACTTTGTGGCCTGGCAGGCACGCACACGGTGGCTCATGCCTGTAATCCCAGCGCTTTGAGAGGCTGAGGCAGGAGGATCGCTTGAGCCCAGGAATTGGAGAGCAGCCTGGGTAACATAGTGAGACTCCTATCTCTACCAAAAACATTTAAAAATTAGCTGGGTATGGTGGTGCACGCCTGAGGTCTCAGCTGCTTGGGAGGCTGAGGTGGGAGGATCACTTGAGATCGAGATCATGGCACAGTACTGCAGCCTGGGCAACAGAATGAGATCCCGATCTCAAAAAAAAAAAAAAAAATCACTTTGTTAAATTTGCTTGTTAAAAGTCAGAACTTGGTTAAAGTGAAAGACTCTTGGGATATTTGAAATATGGAATGGAACAGAAGTATTAACTAAATTGCAGGTCTTGAACATTCTGGAAAATAGAAGGTTAGGGGCCCACACTGACTTCTGATTTGAGAGTTGAAGGAGAAGACGACTATTTGAAAAGGTAGTTCCTAAAGAATTCACTAAATAATAATGGGAACTCTTCTGCTACCATTGGCTCAGAGCCTGCCTCAGTTGACAAATTAATGAATTGAAACTTTACAGCCCTGCTAACCAATGAACTGTAAAAAACAAATCCTCTTCAAGAACAGAAGAGTATTAGCATGAATAGAATGGCCCTTTCAGTGAGAAAGAAAGCACTGAAATGAACTTTATATAAGAACAATCTTGATTCAGTCTACAGTATGAACGTACTTTTACATTCTTACTGAAACTTACCTGCTGGCTTGGATGCTTTGTTGATATAAAGAATATAATCTTTGTTAAATTAACAAAGGAAATGGGTCTAGAAATAAGTTCACATAGAAAGTTAATGTTTGAGATGAACATTGAGTAGTTTTCCTGATTGGACAACTATACAAGATAATTTTACTAAAGCTGCTTTTTGGGGTATGTTTCTTTAAAATAATATTTTAAGTTAAGAAGTACTTTTTTTTTTTTTTTTTGCGATGGAGTTTCGCTCTTGTTGCCCAGGCTGGAGTGCAATGGCTCGATCTTGGTTCACTGCAACCTCCACCTCCTGAGTTCAAGCGAATCTCTTGCCTCAGCCTCCCGAGTAGCTGGGATTATAGGCATGCGCCACCATGCCTGGCTAATTTTGTATTTTTAGTAGAGACGTGATTTCTCCATGTTGGGTCAGGCCGGTCTCCAACTCCTGACCTCTGGTGATCCGCGTGCCTCAGCCTCCCAGAATGGTGGGATTACAGGCGTGAGCCACTGCGTCTGACCCTTTTTTTTTTCCAAACCCTAGAGCAGAACATAAAGTCAGAACTGTCATTTTCACTGGAAGTTCTTATTCCCAAAGTTAGTCTCCAGGGTCAGTGTTAACACCTTGCTGTGTGACCCTTCGGTTGTAACATCTGAGAAGAGTTTAGTTGGACTGTGCCACTTAGCTAGCTATAAAGTTGAGAGAGAATAGTACCAGTCCACACAGGACTGCCCTCACTTGTGATACCAATTGCAAGTTGTCTCTTTTTTTGGTGGGGGGTGTAGGTGGTGGTTCCCCAAACCACCCTTGGGTGGAGTCCAGGGAAGTACCAGATGGGGAAGTACCAAAGGCACGATTGTCCTCTCCCTATGGAGTTAGAACACGTTACTTTTTTGGCATTGATGTGTGACAATGTGCATGGAGTATTGCCAGCCTGGGGAGCTCACCTGAGCCTTGGTGGTCAGTTGTTATTGAGGCTCCATTATGCAGTCATGATTGATTGATTGATTGATTGATTGCCTACATGGTTGATCTTAGTTCCGAGATAGACTGATATCCTGTGACAAACAGCTCCCCCTTCACCCTACATCGTATTATTAGCTGAGGACAAAGGTCAGACCTCTTTTTGGGTAAGATTAAATAAGGTTAAATTGTTTTTTGTTTGTTTGCTTTGAGACAGGGTCTTGCTCTTTTGCCCAGGCTGGAATGCAGTGACACAATCATGGCTCACTACAGCCTTGGTCTCCTGGGCTCAAGTGGTTCTTTCTGCCTCAGCCTCCCACTTAACAGGGACCACAGGTGTACGCCACCATGCCTGGCCTATTTTTTGTAGAGATAGGGTCTCATTGTGTTACCCAGGCTGGCCTGAAACCTCTGGGCCCAAGCAATCCGCCTGCCTCGGCCTGGAATTCCAGGCATGTTCCACTGTGCCTGGCCTGGTGAAATCATTTACTACATATCCTACTTTTTTCCTGGTCCCTTCCTACTTGAAAATACTATATGCTACTGTGCTTTGCCATTGACAAATGACTGTCCCTTCTAGAACATGGAGGAGACACAGGCCACAGGGAGAGCTCTCAACCTTAGTTTCCTTCTAACTAAAATGTCTTTGAGTATCTATCCATCAGTCATTTTCTTCTGCTTTGCCTCTGAGGAAGAGACAGTCCCTCCTTCCTGATGTTAACTCTTGTGTCTGCTTTGGTCTGCTTGTTATGGGTCTGTGAATTATCGTTTACTATCTCTTGCCTTTTTGATTGTTTTTTCCATTTGCTGGTTTCTTCACTTCTATTTACAAACATATCCTTGTCTTGGTAATCTCAGCCGTGTTTGCTACTGAGTTCCATTCCATTCCATTCCATTCCTTTCTTTTTTTTTTGAGATGGAGTATTGCTCTGTTGCCCAGGCTGTAGTGCGATGGCATAGTCTTGGCTCACTGCAAGCTCCGCCTCCCAGGTTCAAGTGATTCTCCTGCCTCAGCCTTCCGAGTAGCTGGGATTACAGGCATCTGCCATCATGCCCAACTAATTTTTGTATTTTTGTAGAGATGAGTTTTTACCATGTTGGCCAGGCTGATCTTGAACTCCTGACCTCAGGTGATCCACCTGCCTTGGCCTCCCAAATTTCTGGGATTACAGGCGTGAGCCACTGCACCCAGCCTCCATTCCATGCTTGAAAAACATTTCAGGAGAATCCTATTAATCCTGTAATCAAACCCAGACTCTGCATGGGGCCCAGACAGTGCCAGATTTTGGTTCAGCATCTTATGGTTTTGAAAATGCTGTGTTCTTCTACAGTGTATTATAGGTAGTGGGTGCTTGAACACTGTTTGGTGAATGAATAATTTGGCAAGGCAGAGAAAGAGAGAATTCTAATTGGAGGAAACAGGAGCAAAACCACAGAGGTATGACAGGCGAGGTAAGGGGAATCCAAAGGAGCACCATGTGGAAGAGAGTGGGGAATGGTGAGCCTGGAAAGGTTGGGAGAGCCAGAAGGTTTCATAACAGGTTGATTTTGTGACCTGTGCTGTGGTTTGGTTTGTCCCTTCCTACTTGAAAATACTATATGCTACTG